TTGCGAATCGAGAGATTCGTAAACTGTGACATCGGCCATAGGCCATGTGATGATCAATTTTCCGTGATGTATTTCCGGACGAAATCATTCCAGAGAATCGGAAGAGCTGCGTAAATGTGTTGTCTCAATTGTTGCTGTGTGGGCGATGCATCCGCTGAAAATTACGAAGATTTGCTGCATGTTAGTTTTTTATTGTATCTCAGATTTTAAAACATTTCTGAAGGAAATCAATTAGGTGCTATACAAGTGGGGTGGGCACGCCCAGCTTTTCACGCATGTCAAGTGACTGCCCTCACCCCCACCCCCTAGATTGGCTACACTCCCCCTGGCTCACGAATTCCCCGATTCTCGTGACAGTATAGTAGCGGGCAGCAGTCCCACTTACATACATTTCTGTTCAAAAAATGCGGCGTGCCCACCCTACTTGTATAGCACCCAATTATTTTTGGAAGTTCTGAAGGGTATTAATTTCTTGTGAAAAGCTAGCAAGAAATTGATAAACTTTAAGTTGAAGAGATTTGCGAATTTCCAGAATTAGAGGAGTACTAGATTTTTTCAGAAAGGCAGACGGTCGTGCACTGACTGTTCATTTCTAGTTCTCTTCCTGATTTTTTGTGGAGGTCTGGTGAGTTATTGTTTCCTTTCGTTCTCTTTTGAGGCAGGCTTGATACGAGATCGTTTCCAGTAGTTCCTAGTGACTTTTCAAAGGTTTACGCCTACAAGCGTAATCATCATTGCTTGATGTCAGCTGTGTGAATGGAAGAAAATGAGCTCAGTAAATAGTCTCTTTGAAGAGCTCTACGCATCCGGCTTTACTTTGAAATATGTTTGTATGTTCAAGCTTCAACAGAGAAAACGTTAAGGTATGATAGGAACTATCTCTCGTGTTGGTCAAACTGAGTGGGTTTTCTTAGCTTGTATGAATCAAGACAACTTTCATACAAATCACCAAGAGTGACGACAGTCTGTCGTCACTCTTGGTGATTTGTGTGAAAGTTGTCTTAATCTGTCGTCACTCTAATTATTCCTTGCATTCTTTTCCCGTCGCTCCTGAGCCCTGCAAGCGATCAATCATTGCAAAGAATTTAGCTGTTTTCTCGCCGTTCCGCGTGCATCACAGAATGTTGAACGTTGATTCGCTCGGAAAGGTTCAATATGCAGTGGAAATATTGGGGAGCTCAGAGGGTGAAACCAGGTGAAAATTATGATTGCTAAATGTTCGAAGAGTAACTGATCATGAATGGAATTGTTCCTGACCTGAATCATTTCAAACCACAAAAATACAGTATTCTGTTGTGAAGAGATAAGGTTCAGTGAAAGGTTGAACTCAGACAAGCTTTCGATGGAAAATGAGCTCAATTATGTAACTATTCGCATTTCTAATGAAATTTAGACGAGGTTAGCACAATTAAGTGAATTTGCACTATTGAAGTATCACTCCAAGTGATAGCCAGGTGGAGAGAAAAACTAGGACGGGCGTTTTGCGGCGAAAAGTGTAGTAAAACACAATTTTTGCTCAGCCAAACTGCTTTACCATTCCCTCTCCGAAGCTCCCTCGTCTCCAGGCTGGCTGTTGAAATTCACGATAAAATTATGATTATCATTCAATTTCCGTATTGGAAGTGAAATTCATAACAACTAGTCATGTCTCGTAATCTTGCCAAGTGGTATCTTCTATCCGTGTATTATTCCCTAGTAAGATATCCTAACACATTGATGACATCGCGCGTTTTGGGTTTTTGCACCGCGTGGGACAAGGGCGCTTTTGCGAGCGCGGCCGTCACACCTCACACCCGTAAATTTCGAACGATAACCTTGGGAAGCTTCAAAGTACGAAACCATTTCAGCAATATTCAATGCGTAGAAAGTAATCGAAGATATAGTAGCGAAATTCCGATCAAAAAACGTGAAATGGTAAAGAAAATTGGAATTTAAGTCCTTTTCTCTGTAGTGGATGCCAAAACTATTTTCGATGTGGATGTGTCAAGTGAAACATATATCTTTCTATCCCTTTTAGTTTATTTACACCACTACCTTTTTCACTGACATGTTCATCAGAATAGGAAGAAAACGAGGGATGAACCGAGCTGCCAATTTCGCTGTGCTTGAAAAACTTCTCTGCTAAACTGGAGCATATTTGATCACACATGACCGTGACCCACTTCGTACAGCTTATGCTATGTCCATGCCATGAAATAAGCAAGCAAATTGGAAGAACCCGTTGCATACGCATACGAAAACACATGAATAGGTGAGACGCCACCGCGCTCAATGTCCAAACGAGGTGTGCGAAAAAGTGAGAACTCGTTAACCATGTCCTCAAATGTGTCGATGTGTTAAGTCGCTTAACAAAAGATTAACCGATTAAATAATGGAGTACATATCGTGGGTTCGGACTGTTCTGGTTTCTTTTTTGATGCCACACCATTTGGCACATCCGCCTTAAAATTGTCAACACCGAATTATCGGAATCGCTGCCTATGAAACATCATCTGGACGTAGTGAGCGAAAAATTGTCCCTTGGAATGGTAATTTTAGGGTTGCATTGCCTGGTACGCCTTGGAGCACGGTGACACGTACCGCATCATATTCGGGTCAGACAGCTTTGGAAATACTTGTGGACGCAATAATGAACCAATTTGGATTCGATCGAACGGTACCGAAACAAGGAAGCAGTTTGAATTTTCCGGACAGAATATGACTGATAGAAGGTGATTTTTTATCCATTTCGGCTCACAATGAGATGTGGTTGAGAATACAGACAACGCCAGCTGTCGGCAGATTTCACCACGACGCAACGAATGTGTTAATTATTAATTTGTTTTTGTTGTTGTTACGGTCTTGTAGGCGAATGCGCGGAACTTTGGCTTATTTTTTGTTGCCACCACGTTTTTCGTGTTCACATAGAAGTGTCGACTCACTTGAACTTTGCATCGTCCCTGTATTCGTTAGAATTGCTTGGGTGCATTTTGTTCACTGTACCGTGCTTTTCATACAGATCTTCTCATTTTGGATTTCTACCATCCAGCTTTCGATTTTAAGGCTTATCTCATTAATGGTAACGGAGTGTGGATTGCAGGTTCATGTTCCCTCTGAACGCTTCAAGAGCTTTCGACACGATATGGGCTTGCGTGCGTAGGTGTCCCGATCAGACCATTACTAGTTACGGAGGTAATTTTATGTCATTTTATTCAGAAAGTCTCTCAGAAACGAAAAATTTTGATTCTCTCCTAGCTACTCTTACATTTGCCTACTGGGTCTATTATATTTTCACTACTATTTCATTCAAAACGGTTTGTTTAGAGATATTAGGGATTAGGTTGTAGCTAGAAGAATGCCGCACAGATTTGCGTCCATTCAACGAGCAGACTCTGAATCTCAAGAGGTTTACACATCTGAAAAAGAGAGAATTGGCTATTTTCTTGTCGCATCATTATTTTTACTTGATTTTTCCTTCGAACGATGACTAGCTGAAATTCGTGAGTGTGCACGTGAATTTTCTACGACATAGAGGAGCTAAACCCAGCTCACATGGTCGGGGCAGGCTTTCTCAAGCAAAAAGCGGTCAATATCATACCGTGCATTGGCTAGCGAGAAATAAAAATGATTCCAAGAACATCCTTCCCGACGAACATGCTGCATAAATATCACGAAAACAAACGAAAATCACCAGCAAAAGTTATACTGGGGTGACATCTTTGACTTCTCCCTCGAATAGCTCCCTTAACACTCCACCATTCCTTTTTGCCACCCTTCCCGATTGGCTCTTCTTGCACAATCCGCTCCTATTTTCCCGAAGATCTGTGACTTTACCGCGAATGTGACCCGTTTAGGCTGGTGTCAGAGTCCGCGATCCGTCGCACGTTTCGCGAAATCAGCGAAACGCACAACTCGGAACAATCAGCGGAACCTCGCCGTACGCGGACGGCGAACGAATTTGAGCCGGCGCCGTCTTTCGCTGCGTACCTCTCTGGCAAGTTGCCATTCGCTGGCCCCGCCCCCATCCCGATCGATGGCTGCGATGTTACGCGCGCCAAAATCGAGAATATAAAGGGAAGACTGCCAAACCTCGCATCACCGTCTTGTTTATTGTGGTCTACTCAATGCTATTCCTCCCAGTAATCCTATTCAACACCTGCTAACCCTATTCTATTCTACTTCTGTCGGTCTGTAATTCTATTCTTTCTGGCATATAATTATTCCAAGTTGTGCACAGCTTCTTCATTCAGGTAAGTTTCGTTGTGTGCCCCAAATATGTTGAGTGGTATGTCGGTGTGAAGTGAATTGTAACCAAACTTTCTGTGAGTTGTGTTCATTTCAGTTTGTACCGGCATCCATAACTGTTCCATGAATTAGTAAAACTTATTTCTCTCCGTACATGTCTATTTCATAGTTTGACTTTCTATGTTGAACACAATAGTACATTGAGAGATTGACAACACTTTATTATTCATTGTGCATTATTCATTACTATGTTATTCTCGAGACTCTTCGCCATCATTGCCAGAACCGTCATGTGATGGACCGCTTTTCGCAACACGGCTTTGCTTACGCTGCAACTTGTTTATGAAAATTGGATGCAATGACCATGAAATTGGAAAAACTCACTGTGTAGAGCTGTACTTTTGACTGCTTCGGTTTCCCTCCATGTTTCGCTTGCTCTGGTCGCACGGCTATCCCTGTCAAAGGTGTCAGATAAATTTTCGAGGCTTCATCTACCAAGTCCTCGATCGCCAAAAGCATTTCTTTTGCCTCCTCGGTATCTGTGTTGACTAATGCATTCACATTAGTTTGAAGCACAGATACTTTCTGAAAATTTCGTTTTTTATCAAGTATGATTGCAATTCCTCTCTGCTCACCATATTGATAGAGCTTCTCAGTTGATCTCTTTGCTCCCTTCTTTCCTGAGCGGCGCTTATTTCCACCGAGGATGGTGCAGTACTTGGTCCGGGGTATCCTCAGGTACACCTTCCTCAGTTGCTGCTTCCGCAGTGATTCTAAATGCCGCCCTATTGGGAGGCTGACAGTGAAGCATCACGGCGTGGCGATGCATACAACTAATTCCTGCACGATTGTCCGTGCAGGAGCAGGACCATGCATACGGGCAGACATCGCAGAGGGGGCAGTGGACGTTCCCCTCTGCAACGTCACTGCATTCGCAGTCGCCACGCCGCTGTACATGGGTAATGTACATGTAGGGTCCCTCAGGTTGCCTTGTAAGTACTTGCCATTTGTCTGTGCTCAGTAGGCAGATTCTATCAGGAAATGGAAGAAAAAGTTTCATGGCCTGGCGGTGGCATATGGTGGTCTGTTGGACGCGGTAGGAGGACTCAGCCAGCCGACGACGAGCCTTAAGAAAGTGATGCCTTATTTAGTTAAGTTATTAAATTGTGTGATATACCTTGATTTCATCAGACTTCGACATCTCTTCCACGGCCTTAATAAGAAGGTCCACCAAACAGTCTGCTCTCGCGTTAGCGTTTCTGTGAAGAAACTCCGTTTTCAAACGCAAGTGCCACCTCTCACTAATCATGGTGGTGTCCATTATGGCACCCTGATTCGAGAATGATGCCCACGTCGGCGTTCTATCTTAAAAGGGTTTCCGTTAAGTGAGGATAAATTACCACATTCAAATCAACTTGTACCCAGATAGTTCCGCCTCAGGTAATCCTCCATCCGACCCTGGCCCTCGACTCGAAAAGGAACGCGAGAATTTCACCAAACTTTTGTTGGAACGTGGGCAAGTCTTCTATCTTGAGAAGATCTCTCAGCTTCATCTTCAGTCTATTACGGATTTGAGGCTGAAACTATAGTTTATGAAGTCTCAGAAAAGGATAGATTACATATCGCATCACTAATATTAAGATCACAAACTTCTTTGATTAATTTATTAGCGTTTCTCTGCCACGTCTTCTCAATGTGCCATCTGCAGTAGTGCAGTTTGGCCTGCGAATGAGGAAACACCCGAACGAAAACCATTGTAAAAGCATGGCGCTTCGTCGGTGACTATTTGCTTAGGGTTGAATTCGGGCATCACGCTTTGGATCGCGAGAAAGAGTTTCTCTACATCAGCAGAAGTCATGGTCCCACTGAGTAGGAAGGCTTAAATATTGTCGTTAGTTCAGAAATCTGAATAGTAAATGAAGTCACCTACCTGCTGGAACGCCCGTGTCCCTCTCGTTCAACACTGTCACCGTCGCAAGCTTGAGATTATATCGGGTGGCATTATGCGTATCATCAACGGAGATACCGCGATGTGAAAACTTCTTCAACCATTCTACTTGCTTAGAGGTGATGATGATGACTGAAAACAATGTTTATCTATGAACAAGTTCATTTCATGTGTAACAGTCCTCACTCATGCGAAATCCCCTTCCCGAAGGGTCCTCAGCTAGCTCTAGGAGTCTGATTCCGTCGTCTGGATTTCCCTCTTCTTGTCTTGCCTTCAAAGACTGCATGTCATCTTTATGACGGTGTCCAGGTCTCAATCCAAATCGCTCCACAAGACTCCAAAGATCTTTTTTGGTCACGTAGTATAGTCTTGATGTAGTGGCTGAGAAGTCCTTTCTGAGGCGTTTAATGATGTAGTCATGCGAAAATTCTGAAAAGAAAGATTATTCAGAGTCACGGCGAACACTGAGCTTTCTACATTAACTGACAACCTTCTAACATCCCTTTCAGGAAAACTTGCTGTTCTTGCGTGAGACGTAAAAGGGCAGGATCAACTTTGTGGCCAACGTGTCCCAGGCATCCTTTCACACTCACAGTTCCGTCATCCTCTATTTTCACGTTAAGAAAACAGGAACAGTGCGACACATCTTTCTTAGTGTGTGTAGCCTGAGTCTCCGTCTTTCTAATGTATCTTCCTGCCCTGTTGCATCTGATATAAAGTAATTTATTGCAAATATTGGATTAAGTAAATAAAATGAGTTCACAGCTACCTTAAATAAATTGTTCCATAGGAGCGCGAACTGTCGCGCGTATGGAATGATACTCCTCCATGTTGCTGCCGATGCCGATCCTAGCCATTCCTGTAGTGCTTGTTTTCCAAAAAGTACGGTAATTTCGTTAAAGTACAATTACCAAACACGTTTGAAGAGCTTACGTCAAACTCTTGCTTGCTGCGGAAGTTGAGAGTGAAAACTGTGTAATCTTGTGCCTCTCCCTCTGCTCCGTCTTCTTCGTGCTCTTCTTTACAATGATTGGCAAGTAGTTCTTGGTCCACAAAACACTCCTCACATAACGGGCAGACAACATCTCTTCTCTCAGTTTCACTCAATTGTGCTGCTTGGCGCCTCACATCAGCCTTCACTACCTCTACTTGCTCGTTGGTCAAGAGGTGCACCACTCGGAGATGGGAGTAGAGACTCTTCCGTAACATAACTTTATTGCACAGCTGACATGTCCATAGAGAACTTGACATTTCCTGGTAGATAGATTTTACAAACGTAATAAATTGTTGTTATATACACCAAATGAACGAGTATGCGGTGGTAATTAAAAAAGAGGTGGCATGAACTGAAGCAGGAGCAGGATTAGGAAGAGAATTGGCATGGGCTGTAGCTGGATAGTTATGGGCTGTCAAAAGAAGATGTAATTCCTAGCTTGCGAAATAACCGCGAGCTATTCACACCATTCATTTCAACACCTCCAGTTGGGACCAGCTTGTTGGTCCAGAGATGACGCCTACTGTAGACTGAGGGATATGTTCAAAAAAGCTGATCTCGATCCTGGTCTCGTTGCCATAACAGAAGGTTCACTCTTCGGAATCGAGTGACCACATCTGTTAGACCCGATAACAGATCGTATGTGGAACTGCCGGAATAAAGGGACATTGAGAACGATGGAAATCACAGGTGTGAAATCTCACAGGTTATCAGCATCAAATACTAGCACAAAATAGACAGTTGAGAGAAAATAATGGAAAGGAAAAACACCGCACAAATTAGTAACCAATCATTCAGATGAGGTGGTCGATTGCACCAAAAAGAATTTGAAAAACTTAAAGCTGTGATTTCCATACCTGTGACCTGTGAAAGCCTGTGAAAGCAGCTGAAGGACGAGAATATCACTTGCGAATATCAGTCAAAGCACCTGCATTACGGATAGTAGTAGTGAATATTTGTAGAACCAGTTGAATAACAGTAGTTTCCGAAATAAATCCTTTGTTCAAGGAAAGTAAGTTCGGAATTCCAAAATCAGATGAATTGCAGTAGTTGTCAGAATATCCTCTCGGTCACGAGGTCGTAGGCTTCGAATAGGTGTAGAAGTAGTGAATAGTAGCAAAAAAGCTTTCGAATATGTGTAGAAGTAGCGAATAGTAGCAAAAATAAAGACAAATCTTTGGTTTTGGCGCGTGCGGTGCATCGTAGCCATCGATCGAGATGGGGGCGGGGCCAGCGAATGGCAACTTGCCAGAGGTACGCAGCGAAAGACGGCGCCGGTGCAAATGTCTTCGCCATCGCGGACTCTGAACCAGCCTTTAGTGACAACGCCGGGAGTTTTATGTGCAGGGTGGGATGCTTGATTACTTTTACTGTTAAATCATTAAATAAGCTCATGATTCGTCAATTAGACAGGAATAATCGGGTGACATTAAATAATTTACCTTGTGACTTAAGATCATCTTTGTTTCCATCTGACGACGCGTTTTCTATTTCAGAAATTTCATGCTCTAGCTGTGAACCATAATAATAGCTTATGTGTTGATTATAACTCGGCATTGAACATCATTGATCGTGCTCCTCGTTTTGGAGTGTGCCCACGGCTTCCAGTCTTGCAAAGGTAAAAGTTTCAAAGCTTACGCAGGGCAAGGGCAAATTTTGACGTGAAACGCAGTTTTACAAAATTAGCCCAAATTTATCTAGTAATATTGCTTAGAAATCCTCTTTAAGTATTGATATCCTGAATCGCTGCATTCCTGAAGATCTGCTGAGTTTTGGTAAAGATTTATTCAATAAGGTGAGTTTCTCGAGCAATCGTTTTTTACATTGTGAATGGGGTGTCATTAAGGTGCTTGAGATAGACTTTGTTCGCGGCTTTCTACATGATCTTATTGACACCTCACCTTATCTGCCGCAAGTGTGTTTTCTAGCTTTAGGTAGGTGGATTTCCACTGCAAATGAACCTTATTTTGAAGAAGATTCCTTCTCAGGAACTTTCTTGACATTTTTTCTTTTATCACTCTCCGTGCAGTATATGCGGTGCTTCTTAAAAAATAATATTTCCAGCTTTGTCGCTGTTCTCTGTTGTACTTCTGCGGTTTTTCGCGGCTGCAATCATCTACTTTGTGTACTTGGCGGTCGTGGTGATCGTTGTCGGTAAGTCGCGGCTGTATTTTTCTTATTCTCGCTACCAATGTATGGGCTTTCATGATCTCATCTCCGAGAACGTTTACCTGTTGAAAAATGGAAAGGGTGTAATGGGTTCTGCCCCTGTATTTTACGATTTGATTTTTTAATCATTGCCTGGATCTGTAATAGTTTCTCGTGGAAAAAAATCCAGTATTCTTTTCAGTAATATTCAGGATTTTCTGGAGGTATATGGTACGCGTTTTGGCGAGTCTACAGAAGTTCTGTCGAATCTACAAATTCCACTGAACCAATGGAGCTTGAGACAACGACTGCACTGCTTCCCTCAAGCCCACAGCGCTTGACCAAAGCCGTGTTGTTTGAGGGCGTTCGTTTGGATGCCTTATTCAACTTTGAGGACACTAGTATGCTGACTCTCCTTGGGGTCGGGCTTGGTTCGACAGTTATTTCGGTCAGTGAATCACTCCATTTTATTGTGATAGAGATGTGATCCTTTATGTGAATAATTAATATAACTGTGTACGAAAAACCCCCTCAAAAATCTCCATATTCCCTGGATTACTCTCATCTGATTGAAGATATTTATTTTTTGCCACGTCTAGGACTTTTTGAGAACAATTTTTTCCTAAAACCTTGTAAAACACCTTGCAGAAAACGCTTTCAATTTGATCTTTAAACTGGTGTCAAAGTCCGCGATCCGTCGCAGGTTTCGCTGGTTTTCGCAATTTGCGCGAAGCCAGGATTGGAGAACATTTTGCAGTATTGATCGGGCACTTGTGATTTCCGTGACCCGTCGCGTGAATCGCGTAAATCGCGCAAATCGCGCAAATCGCGAAAATCGCGTGAATCGCGCAAAATCGCGAAAATCAGCGAAACCTGCGACGGATCGCGGACTCTGACACCAGCCTAAGACCAGCCTAAGAGCAAAAAATGTCGAGGAACTCTCAACGAAATTGTTCTTGCTTATAGATTTTATCCAAAAATTAAGATTGATAAGGATGAACGCAGTGTAATTCATTCAAACAGATAGTAAGGTGGTGGCAGCCGGTTAGCAGCCGAACATGGCTCCGGAATTCCTCAATCCGTAATGGTTGAGTGACCAGCTCTATAGGATTAAAAGTAGGACATTACTGTCTTCTGATTGTTCCCATTACGAAATCTGATTCATAATAATGTACCTCATTTTGTATGAACGAGAAACAAATTATGTCACCTCTTGTAGACTCGCCAACATTTCCTTCGAGGAATGGGCGTTAGTTCCTTACATCGTAACATGAAATTTATCTCAAGTGTATTTAATTGCGTGCGTGAACTCTATGGGGTCCCGTTTCAGATTCTCATCGTTTCGATTCTTTGCTGTGTGCTACCGCGCGGTAAAAAGCTCGTTCGATTATTTAAAGGAGCTTCATTGGTTTGTACTGTTTAATGAATTCAGTTCTTCTGTTTTTGATTAGAGAGCTAAGTTGACACACAATGGGAAGTTTTTGTTGCGAACTGTTTCAGGCACTATCTGCGATGCCTTCTCTGTTGTTACAGCCGCTCCTCAATGCTGTTCTCATACTCATGGTTGCCGTTTATACATTGAGTGTAGTGCTCGTGCTATTCACTGCAGGTACGGTAAGATGTATCGCTCTATTTAACGCTTGCACGCTGTTCTTGTGTTTGCTATCTTTTAGTGTTGCAATTGCCTCATGTGCGCTCTCCTAAACTCTGATTCAGGTGACATGGTAAGCAGGAAGGTTACAAATGGAAATACCAAAGATGATAGCATACTAGTAATAGAGACGAATATGACGCGAACAACAAAGTACGTTATTAACCACAATTTCGATGCTTTTATGATATTATAACCAGCAAAAATGGTGAAAGTGCGCCGTGAGGTTTGCTTATGGTAAGAAGTGTTTTCAGGCTCATGATGTTCTACCAGTTCATCGGTTTCGTTTGGGTAACAGAATTTTTTATGGCATGTCAAAGACTGTTCATAGCTGGAGCCGTGAGCATGTACTATTTTGACGTGTAAGGATTTCATTCTTCAATTACTCAGCTTTCATTTGTGTTACTCAGAAGCAGGACATGAAATGTACGTGAAAAATTTTTCCGTTGGCATTATAATGAGCGATCACGCGTGTGGTCGGAACCATGCGCCCGCGAATCATAGAGGTGCCGTCTTGGGCGCGGATATTTTTTACGTGTCACGGGTATGAGATTGCACCCGCAACGCAGAGTAGTAGTGTCCGTGGAGTCACATTGTGGAGTTTCTTACCGGAACCTGAGCTCCCTGACCAGGCATTAACCAGGGGCAGGCGCTGCATCAGGATTTTTCGGTTTCACCAAATGATACCGCTGCTTAGAGCGCCAGAGGTTGAGCGTTCACGTTTTGAATGCAAAACATGTCCAAAATTACGGCGCTACCATGAACTTCTTAAGGACC